CTGGGATTAAGGAGCACAGCACCACACCCAGACTCAGCGCACCCCGGGAGTGGGGCCAGCATGGCAGGTGGACACTAATGGTTTATTTTAAATTATAAAAAGTATTATTTCCACTGAGCGTGCTGGCACACGTCTATAATCCCAGGACTTGAGCTGCTGAGGCGGGAGGATCACTGTGAGTTCAAGGCCAGCCTGAACTGCACAATGACATCCTGTCACAAAAAACAGAAGTAATATTTCCAGTTGTTCTTACTCTAAAGCACCTGTCTTTCCTATATACATTACCCTGGCTTTCTTTTCAAATGTAAATTACAACCAGAATTTAGAAGCAGTACCACATCCATACCTGGTTTGGATTTGGGCAAAGGCCGTTTGAAGAGGTTCACTGTGCCAAGATCCCCTATGTCTGGAGCCTGCTTTTGAATGGAAACCTGTAGGGTGATTAAAACATTTTTAAGAAGTCAGCAAATTAGCACTGGGGCAATTAATAAGACACTACTTTAAAAACACTTTGAGGAGCTGCTGAGATGGCTCAGTAGAGTAAGCGCTTCCCTGGCAAGTGCAAGGGCCTGAGTTCAATCCCCGGTTCCACCACCCCCCCCTTCAAAAAAAAAAAAAAACCCACTTTGATAAATACCTTTATGTATGCAGACCCCTCTAAATCACTAGGAATTTGGACATCAAGGGGACAGTAATCTTCTGGTATCTTCTTATCCAGATCAATATCTGTATTTTTTATTACTTCAAATGTACCATGATGAGGAAAGAGAGATCCTAGCAGGGTATTAAAGACAGGAAAAGAAAAAGTGAACACATTATCACACACCGCCGAGTACACAGCACTTTACATCCACATCACTGACGACAATTAAATTCCCACCAAAAAGGTGTTAAAATTAAAACTAGATTAGTTAGTATAGGGCTATGGTAGAGTGGTTTTGGGTTATGTGTGTAGAAATTAAAATTTCAAAATATACCAAGTATGCCAGAGAAGTGAGTGAAAGTCGTCAGCAAGGGGAAAAGGAAACAGGGTGTACAAAAGTCAGTCTCTTAAAACAAATAATGCTCCTTAGTTGATTGGTACAATAACGTTACTTGGTGGATCATCCAAGGCAAATTACAGTGGATTTTTTTTTT